GGGGGGGGCCCTCCGGGGGGGGGCACCGCCAAGGGGGGGGGGGGGGGGGGAAGAGACGGGCCAGCCCAGCTCCCCATCCTCGCTCCCGCCGAACCTTTCCCTTCCCTCGCCGAACCTTTCCGAACCGCCGCCGCCGCCACCACCTCCCCGGCGCGCAACGCTCCTTGCTTGGCGAATCGCGCGCCCGTCGGAAACTCGCTTGCTCCCGAGTAAACAGGGCTGGGATCATCCGCGCTATGATCAAAGGGGCGGCGTTGCTCCCCCCCCCGCACCACCACCAGGAACAGCTACAAGGAGCGCTGACCTCCGGCAAAGTCCCCTTGGGAACACCCGGGGTCGTCTTGCGCGCCATCCGAACCCCTCCTGCGCCTCCCCAGTCCCGCCACCAAAGAGACTCCGGGGGGGAAGGGACGCTCTGGTTTTAGTGGTTGATTTTAATTCTGAACCGAACTTTTGACTACAAGAGACGAATATAAAGAATAAATAGCAGGCTCTTCCATTTACATAGGGTTAAAGACATTTTGTTTTCCAAAAAGTTCACTATATACAGTAACACCGCGTCCTAAACTTTTATTTTAATAACAATAATAATAATAATATTTTGAAGTCTATAAAAATTCACACTCAACTCAGTCATACATTTTCCGAAGAATGGAAAATATCTTTATATATATATTTATATATTTTCTTTTCTTACCAGAAGTTCACGTTTCTTTAAAAAAAAAAAAAAGGACTTCGCAGAGGAAACAAAACAAAAGCGCGAAGTTTGCAGGGGGGGTTGCTTCAAAATCACCCCCCACAACTGCTTCTCTCTCTGGAATATAAATTAAAGGGAGACGGGGCCGGGGGGGACAGAAGGATACCGTAAAGGGATATGAAGGGCAAAACTCTTCCAATACAGTAGACGAGGAGGGTCCCGTTGTTCCCACTGACCTTTTCAATGGGAGACTCAAACGGGGGCAGGACGGGAGGGGAGGAATCTCCGTTACACACCCATCCGTCCGCATCCACACGGGCACAGGGGGCAACACGCGAGAAGCGCGCCCTCCCGAGCAGGCCGCATCTCGGGCCACACGTGCGCTCACCGCAGCCACCACCTCCTGGTTACATTCCCCGACCCCTGGCCGTGCAGTGCAACGTGTGAACTTCGGGCCGCCTGGTTGGAAGTCGTCGACAGTCCGTCCGAGTCTGGTTTATTGGCGGCCGGGGACGGGGAGATGGAGAAGGGTCCCGAGGTTGGATTGAGTTCGCGACAGGACGGGGTGCCGTCGAGGAAGGAGAAGAGGAGGGCGCCGGGCCTCATAGGCACGCGGGGGTCCGGCAGCCGGGCGCCCTGCCCGCCCCCTCCCCCGGTTCCCCTCGGGTCCGCCGCTGCCCTGCCTGCTTCTCTCTCCCTCGATCTCCCCCCCTCCCCCCGCGCCCTAGCAGGAGCACTTGCACTCGGCGATGATGGGGTACTGGATGGGGATCCACGTGCAGCGCTGCCCGCCGCGGCGCTGGCACCGCCACCTCAGGATGGTGAGGTGCACCGACTTGGCCGGCTTGCAGACCATGCCTTCCGGGACGGAGCAGGACCTCTTGCTGAAGCAGCTGCCCACCTTGACGTAGCGGGGCCAGAAGCGGCTGCCCAGATCGTTCCACGTGTAGAGCACCGGGCAGAAGGTCTGCGACCACAGCCAGAGCTGCAGCTTCCGCCGCAGCTTCTTGCTCAGCCGGTGCTTCTTGCTGCTGCCGCCGCCGCCGCCGCCCTGGGGCGAGAGGCCGCCCCCTCCCTCGGCGAACTCCAGGCTCTTGATCTCGCCGGGCATGGCCCCCGACGGCCGCTGCCGCAAGAGCAGGTCCAGCTCGGCCAGGTCGTCCCCGCCCAGGCGCTCCTCCGGCAGCGAGACCGCCATGAAGGCCGGGTCGAAGTGGGTGCCCAGCAGGCTCCGCAGCAGCGTGTCGTTCAGGTCCTTCTCCTTGGGGTCGAAGAGGGGATCCGGGTGCTCGATTAGATCCACCAAGGGCAGGTTGTCGCTCGGGGCCGGGCGGATGTGGAGGTAGTGCTGGCAAGCGCCGGGCGCCAGCCGGAGCCCCA